CTGAATGTTATATACTTGTTTTTTGGGCCATCTGGTAGGTCTTAGATTATAAAAACTAAGTAGCTCCCTGATGAAGAATTCAGTCTGAGCAAAAAATATAGAACCATTTAAAAGGTTTTCTATGTCTGAATGTTATATACTTGTTTTTTTGGGCCATCTGGTAGGTCTTAGATTATAAAAACTAAGTAGCTCCCTGATGAAGAATTCAGTTTGAGCAAAAAGTATAGCTTACATTTAGTTAACAGTTTATTCTGTGATTCTTTCACAAATACTGCATTGTATAATCGTTACCAAAATGACATAAGAATTATGGTTCCAGTTTTTCATGTGACTCAGATGCTGTTTAAGGGACTTCCCTAAAAATCACAGGCCTTCTGATTCCGTGTTCGTATTTTCCCATTCATTCATTCACTTGCTCATTCAATTAATGCTGAGTAACGACTGTGTACCAGTTACTATTCTAAGTTCTGGGAATGCAGCAACAAAAAGAATAGGCAACAGTCCGTGCCTTCATGGAGCTAACACTGCGGTGAAGGAGGCGGATGTTGAACAACATAAATAAGTAAAATATACAGTGTGCCAGATGCATACATGCTATGGAGAAAACTAAAGCAGGAAAAAGGGGTGTAGAGTCTGGGATGAGGTGGAGTGCTGCACACTTAAGTAGGGGTCAAGGAAGTTCTCACTGAGTCAAGACTGGAAGGAGGTGAGGGAGGAAGCTATGCAGATATCTGGGCAAAGAGCATTCTGCAATAGCTCGTGCAAAGGCCCTGAGGCAGGAGCGTGCCTGGTGTGTTTGAGGAACAGCAAGGAAACCAGTGCAGCTGGTGTGATCAAGGGCCAGAGGAGTAGGTCACAGAGATAATAGGACAGGGGCGCAGGTGGCAAGGCTCTTGGTTTTTGATTCTGATGAGATGGGAGCCATTGAAGGGATCTGAACAAGGCATAGAGCCCTGACTTACTTTTGAACAGGGTAACTCAAGCTGTTAACGCTGGGAATAGACGGTAGAGGGATAGGGATGTCTTAGGTCAAATTCGTTGGAAAACAGACGCTGGGATGGAGATTTGTATGGAGGTGGTTTTTTGGGAAAGGTTCTCATGATCAACACCTGCGAGGAGGTAAGGGGCCAGGCTTGGATGAAGGGAGCCACTGAGAGGGAACGCAATAGCTGGCGAGGCCTCAGCGGGGCGCTGCGGAGCTGGGGTGGTCCTTCAGTGAGGTCCCAAAATGAGCCAAGAGATGCTTGTATTAATATCAACAAGTCATCAAATAAGGGCCATCCCAGAGAGGGGTGTAACCTTGAGCAAGGCAATGCCCTTCAGCTGAGGGCAAGTCCTAGCGAGAAACTCAGCTGTGATCCATCAGCTGCCAACATTCTCAGCAGGACGGATTCCCGGTGCCTCAGTCTCAGGGAATATATAGGGACTGGAGAAAACAGTCGTGGAGTTAGGCTTCGCAGTTACAAACTAGTTTTCTTTGAAACCTAGTCAATAGATAATTTGGAAAACACTTGCTTTTTCCTAACTAAGAGCACATAGGCAAATCAGCTCAGGTATGATTGCTCTGGAGAAACCAGTTGTTTAAAATAACCTACGCCCAACCAAGGGCTATTGGCAGAACACTTTAATACCTTTCTTCTCTTTTAGCTTATTGGGGCATGTCAAAAGATGTTGTAACCATTCTTGTCAAAAAAGAAGTGGGCTACAGCCGTTTGCTCGGTTTGTTTCTTATGAGCCCTCGCTTTGGCCAGTAGTGCACATGTGACCACCAGGTGGCAGTCAAGCCCTTCCGAATGGCCTCTTGGGGCCTGAAGCCCGGTGTAAGAAGCTCATTGTAGATTCCGGGCACCTTGAACGCCAGGAGTAAGGCCTCGCTTCTGCGTTTGATGGATTTTTTCATTCCTGATATGAGGGAATGTGGAAAAATTATCACGGACAGTTTTCAGCTTTAAATGTGGAATTCCTCAGCTGCAGCCAATAGCTGGATCTTGTATAACATCTCCTGATCATCTTGTAGGAAGAGCACATGGCCCCGGGAAGATGCTTTCTCGTGACAGGAGCTGCTTAGAGGAATGAATTCTCATTGACTTGCTAGGGCGTTTGGTTGGGACTCGAGCTGTATTCAGGATCTGTAGCTAGCACATTAGCTCTTGGATTCCTCTTAGGAGCTAATTTCTTTCTTATGTTGGGCTTATAGGTTATCACATACATAATTGCTGTTATCATTTGGTTTGAGTAGAAGCAAATTATAGGCAGAGGAGTTTATTGAAGGCTAGAAGCCCAAGAATTACAAATCATTAAGAAGTGGTGTTCAGAATGAATAAAAGAGTGTTAATATTGCGTCTCTACACCGGTATGACCTAGTGCAGTTCTTAAAGGGTTTTGTGTTATTTATTCTCACAACCTTGAGTTACAGAATTTGGGGATTTTTTAAAATTTTTTCTGAAAGGGACCATGGAGGTCCTTCCTGGCATTTATTCTTTCAACAATGGTTTGTTGACTGCCTACCAGTAGCAATCAGTTTCAGACCAAGAGAGGAGAGTCCCTGGGAAAAACAGTCTTGCATAGACCAAAGAACATGCATATAGAAGTCAGAAGGTCCTAAGTTCTCTCACATAGTCTGCGTGACCATGGATTTGTTGCCTACTCTCATGAAGCTTCAGGTTTTTTACTTATAAATTGATGATAATATATATTAGGCAGGGTTGATTTAAGGATAAAATAAGAAAATAAAACCGCACTTTCTTAGTGCTTGGCACATAGCATATGTTCAGTAAATGCTGTTATTATACTATGACATATAGAATTATTCAAAGGTCTAGGACCCAGGGAACATTTAAATTCTGATCTCCAGATCTCTTCTCAGAATCTCTAGGGGCACAGTCTGGCTGACTATATTTTATTCAGTGTCCCCAGACGGTTCTGATGTCCAGGGGTTGGGAACTGCTGGTCTAGGAGACACTGATGAAGCTGGTGGCAGTAGACAGCTCATGAGGTCCAAGTCGGCATTTGCCAAAGTGTCTTCTACTGGGTGTCAATAAGATGTTACATAAAAAATGGGTTACTTGAGAGATGCTGCCTCAAGTCAAGTTGAAGAGACTTGTTTATTGCAGGGCTTCTCAGCACCTTTGATATACTAGTGTGCCTTGTGAATTTCTGAACAGGAAGATGTAATATGCACTACGTCCAAATTTATTTGACCGTGGAATCTTTTCCTCCAGAGGCACGGGAATTGATGTTGCGAGAATGCGTCTCAGGCGGGCTGCGGTGAGCATTTGCCATGGTCACAGCCCCCTTCTGGGCAAGGGGTGCCA